AATATAAATCAATTTCACCCATTTTATAAAATTCTCTCCAAAATGTTTACAAAATTCTCTCCATTAATTAGAGGAAAGACAATAGCCACATTTATGGCTGACTGGAAACCCTTTATAGACTTTTTGCATGAAACAGAAAAAAATGCAGTTTAACAACATTTAATTTTTTTCTCTTTCAGATTCCTCTGTGTTTTGTTCACAGGTAATGTGGGGAACATTGGTCCTGCCACTCCATTATTTCAGCCTTGTGCTAAACCAGTAAGGGCCATAGAATTAAGGTGCTTACAGTACTGCTAGTTGAGCAGTCTAGCACTGTTATACAGTTCTTATAGACTACTGGCACAGTGATGAGGTGAGCAGCTCATTAAGGAGGCAACAGCAGAATGGCAGCAGATGAAGCTGACCAGAGATAAGGGGGCCTGCATGATATGAAATGGCCAGTAAGCACCTCTATGACCCCACATGCTACTGGGACTTGACTATATCAACTCAGTGGGCAGCAAAACTTCGCAGTTGTCATTGGATGCTAATGACTTATAAAGGGACAAATACTACTTTAACATCTGTACAGCCAAGGACAATTTAAACCTGTCTCAATCATAGGCTAAGAATGAGATAAAAATAACATCATGGTACTATAGCAGAAAGAAGTTATTGCCAAAAAATGTTTATACCATGGTTAAGTGGGGACACAGCCACAGTTTAATATTAAAGCTACTTCAAATCAATCCTTTATTATGGTCATAGACCAGCATAGCTACTTCAAATCTGATTTGAATTTGCCTTCTGAGAACTGCCACAGAATTAAGTTTTGTTATCAGTTGAAACATAAAAGCCATACTAGGCATGCATGTTTGAGCTGAAGGAGTTGCTGACACATACAAACTTCAGATATACACTTTTTTTTAACCTCTGGTACTGGACTTAAATAGAAAAGGTAAATAGAAGTAGAAAAAATCTTCTATACAGAGTTGGTCTGATTTAAATTAAGGGGTGAGCAATCCTTGGGCTATGACCAAGTGAGGCTCTCCAGAGCTCACACTGCTGAAACTTAGAGGTAAACCCTATTATTACAGAGATGCTATTTATTAATAAAAAACAAACAAGCATGTAAGTCTTTAAAAACTTAACCTAAATAAACCAAAAGAAACTCCACCCATCACAAAGCTCACATTACAACCCCAGACCTGTCCATTTGTGTGACCTCACTGTGTCATGGCCCTGCCTACTGCAATTCATGTTGTTGTTTTTTTAAATGCAGCTTCCAGACATGAAAAACTTAACCATCCTGCTATACAGTACCTTCATTCTTTCTCATTAGGCAGGTCTCATCTGTGCCCTTTTCAAATGTGGTCTCATTCAATTCTCTACTTTACTTGGATTCTATACTCATTGACTTTTGCTACTATTTAAGTGATCTAAAGTTTTACATTTTATTCGAACTCAAAACTTCAGGCCAATGTAGGATCATTTCAAATTTTTAAGTAATCATTCTCCCAAGGTATTGCTGCTAAGTTATTTTTTTTCATTATCCTCAGTTTCCGCAGCAAAGTTCTTAAGAAGGCTTGCCATCATTTCATTGCAAGCTGACATTCTACAACTTTCTATTAGTACAGACATAGCCAACTTGAGCTTTACAGATGTTTTCAATTTAAATGTAATTACCATTAACAGTATGGTAGTAGTTATTCCAAACATTTGAAGAGCATCAGGTTGCTTTCTCTTGTATTGCATTTCATAACCAATGCACTGTAGATCTGAATGCCTCCCTCAATATGAAATTAAGTAGTCCACCTTTAATCATAGGTAATGGATGCCAATCATTTATAATATCTGGAACAATACTGATAACCATTGGCTTAGCATGATCAATAGAAGCAATAGTTCATTTACAGCAATGGGCTTACCCTAGCTTTCTCCCAACAGCGAACTGCAGAAAACTGGCATTTTTATAGTTACTAGATTTGGGGGCAAATTGCTGGATGGCCAGTAGATGGCAGTAAATGTTTCCAGGTTTTTCATTTTCTCTTTCTGGCCACCTAGTGGTTGGCCAGATGTTTGCAGCTCTGTTCTAGTTGGAATTGTTGCTTCACCATATCCCAGATAAGGCTGCTGTTTAAAAGCCGCACAATGTGTGCAAATTCAGCAGATCGATTTGCCATTGGTTGCATCTCTAGGCTCTAGCTGACAATTGACCCTATAAATCCACCCAGAATAAAGACCTACCTTACAGCATTCAGTATATTCAGTATATTATTAACCTTCACCCACGTCTTCTTAGCTTTTTTTTTAATAGTTTTTAATTTTTTAAAAATAATAATAATGATAATTGCTTTAGGTATTTATTAACTGTTGTTACAGCCTTGTTGTATGTATTTATTAACTGTTGTTACAGCCTGGTTGTACGCTGCCCAGTCACTTGTTTTGTGTGATGGGCAGCTATATAAATTTAATAAATAAATAAATGAACAAATACATTTAATTAAGCGATTGGTGAGTAGATTTAACTTATACCCAAGAGACCCCTATTTTACTTACTTTGAGATAATCCCCACTGAATTTGTAAGCTATGTTTACTTGGAGGTAAATTCCACTGTGTGCATAACAACCACCCTCTTAAGGAACAGGATCGCGGCCCTTCCTTCCGAGAGATATGCAATATTTGGAGTAACCGCAATCATTCGGTCCCCTTCCAAGGCTCCCTCTGCCGAGGAGGACCTGTTAACACCGCGGCGTGGGGCAGACAACCCAAACGGCCAAAGCAAGCGCATTTACGACAGTTTCATAAAAGCCAGGCACCGTCCCTCCTTTCCGTGTCTCCCATGCCTCATTCAAGAGCCGGTACAGTATTTGCTGAAGGACCTTTGCAGCCCCGCCATCCGCACCCTTTCTTCTTTCCACAGAAAAAGGCTGGGGGGAACCCCCCCTCCGCTCCTTCTCTTCTCTGCACCCCTTCCGCCCCCGAATCGGCCCTCTTACATAATAGCCCGATGCGCTTCCCTGCCTCCCTCCCTCCGCTCCCTCTTTTTCCTGGCTTCATCGGTGGCCAGCATTTGACAGGAGGGCCAGTCACGTGGCAGCCGGAAAGCGTCTCTTTGCGACCTCAATGACAGGCAAAATGTGCGACAGCCGCTTGCAAGGCAAGGAGGAAGCTGGTTTAGAGCGTCTTCGCCTTGTTTAAAGGCAGGGTTGGTTGCTGCCTTGCACTCTTCAGATTCCAGTTCCCTTCTCCGCCCCTCTAGTGGTCGGGACAGCGGGTTTGGGGAGAGGGAAAGCATTCCGGGAGCAGACTGAGGGATTGACCTAAGTTTGGAGTTTAGATGAGATCGTAGTCTCCTTTCTCTTACCCCCCACCCCCCCACTCCCTTGAGCCCCGTTCTTGCCAGCAGCAGCCTCCAGGTGTACAGTTCAGGCAGGAGGAGGGGACGCTCCCGGCTGCATTGGCGTCCAACATGGATAGAGAAATGATACTGGCTGATTTTCAGGTAAATTTCAAATTCCACCACTGCCATATTCTAACCATGATCTCTTTCCCTCCCTCCTTTTTCCCCCTTCCTTCCTGTTTCCCTTTCTCCCGGCTTCTCTGCTTTATGTTCTTTTGTGGAAGGACTTAAGCTCTGGAATTGGCGAGCCCTGCTCCGATACTGTAGTAGAGCAACCACGACAATAATAAAGCTTAAGACTGTTTATTCTTTGTATCCGATAATCCAAGAGACAAGAATAATCGAAGAAACAAGAATAATGCTAATGAAAGAAGCTATTTCGCTTGGCAGTAATGTACCTACCTTTGTCCTCACAAAGAGATGAAAGAACAAGACAATGCCAGAGGCAGAGTTTTTTTTTTTTAAATACCTAAAAAGATTTCTGTCTTTCATATATCTGGTTCATTTTGACTGTCTGCAAACTTCTATAATTAATTCCACTAGAGAGAAAATAAAATACTAAGATGATAAAAAGACCTGCCTACATTCCAAGGGCTCATATCTACTGTGATAAACAAAAGATGTTAAAAGAAAGGGTTTGGATGGAAGGTTAGAAAAGAACTTTGGTGCCTTTTGCACTTAACCCCCCCCCCTCACCTTTATCTAATATTTATCTTAATATATAGAATGTATTTTTCTGTTTGGTGGTATATTTTATGGTAATGTGCTATAATTCTCCCATAATTTTAGCTCTTCAAGCAATAATCAGCAACTTGTTATGGAATCACTACTGGGATTTAAATATATAGAAAGCAGCTTTTTGAATTTCAACTTCCACCATTTCCAGCAGCATGGCCAATGGCAAAGAATAATAGGAGCTGTAGTCTAAAACATATGGAGAACATTGGGTTGTTTGCCCTGTCTTACAGCATGCTTCTGTGTAAGAACTGGGATTCTTTATGGGTTTCTATGTAATATTTATAAATCAGTTGGGAAATAAGTCTCTCTGAATTCAGTAGCTTTGAATTCCATGAATGTGTGTACAAAATTTCAGGCTTAATATCATTTGTATATGGCTTTTATAAATATTTTGACCATAGCTTATATGAATAATTTTAGTTCTAGGGTCTTCATCCTTTTTGAATTATTGGACATATTTGGAATTTTCAGAAAATACCATTGGTATCACAAATGGCTGTGTATCCATTTCGCAGAAAGTACCTATTTCATAGAAAGGCAAACTGATTACAGTATGTAAAGAAAACTTCAGTGCAAACTAAATAATAATTTTAAACCCACAGTTCTGTCTTTCAGGGTTATTCCTCGAGTTCTCTTAGTCTGTGCTCTCACACATGATCCACCCCCCAACACATACAGAGACTCTATTCCTTTTCCTTTAGGCTGCCTCACTAACCATCTAACTCCTCCCTTTGCCCTCTGTTGCTCATATAATGTTAACCTTTGTTTTCCCACTTCCTTTTCTTACTATTAACTCCAGTTCTTCTTGAAATCATTTCCATCTCTTCATTTATTATCATCTGCAAGCTCACCCCTTCTTTATGTAATCAGTGGCAGTGAGGTTACTTGTTTCTTTTTTTATTTTTCCATTCTCTGGCAGTTGAAAATGGAGTACTGGACTCCAGGATCTTCATTTACTAATAACATATCTTGGGTCCATCAAGACCTACAGGCAGATTGGGAGATAAATATGGAAGGTAATTGGAGTCTGATGTTTCTCTTGAAAGAATGTCTGGAGATCTGAGAAAAAAATTAAGAATAAAGTAAATCATATGCACCAGCAAAGCATATTATAGGCACAGGTGGAAGTGTCCACAGGTGCACATTGCCTGGTTCTGTTTTAAGTTAATAATGATGTCACAATTTGTTAATATTTGCTTCTAGTTGATCTTTTTAAATTACTTCTATTTTGCTATGTGCAAATGAAATCATATTTAATAGACCTCAAGCTGATTTAAAGAAGATGGGTGAAATATATCATACAATAGTATGTAGAAGGTTGTACTCATAGATGTATTTCCTAACACATAAAAGAACCTGCATAAATCACATGCTATGTGGAATATATTTAGGACCAGGAGCTGCCCTGTGAAGGTCAGATACAACATCACTGAAATTTTAACAAAATGTTAACATCAAATTCCTTTTCTTAGCTGTGTGGCAAACATTATTACAATCACAGGAAATTTTATGTGTAGTAATATACTGATCCCTTTCTTTTTGATCAGGAGCCTGCTAATTATATTGAGCAATATTAAGAGTTTTGCTGAACTTACTCAACTCTTTATGAACAGGAACATTTTGATCTTGTTCTGCTATGTTTGGCTTTAACTTTTATACCTTACTTTTGTGGCATATTTTAATAGAAGTGTATTTGCTTGTTTGTATAGAATCTTGTGTGTCAAGAATTAAAAACTTATGGATATAAGTGCTGACAATAATTGAAGTAGGTGCTTTATAAAAGACAAAAATTCTACCTGTTTTCAGTCTGTAAAAGAGAGACATTAAAGTTGCTAAGGGGTAATCTATGATACTGTGTGTTTTGGATCAGGCTGTAGGTAATGTATCCCAAGCAAATGAAGTTTGTGATATCTTATTAATTTTTACTGATTTTTATCAGATTTAAATATGACTTAAGATCAAAAGATGAATTCAATAGCATGCTTGCATCAGCAGAAGAAAACAGTTCCCTCTCTGGGGCAGATTTACAAATGCTCTTCTAGTAGACATCTAATAGGGCAGCATTGGATTCAACTGTATTGCTAATAATTTTTGATTGTCTGAATTTTAGGAGTTCAGAATTGTTGAGATCTTAGGTCAATTATGATTTATCACTGAATAGTATTATATGTATGATTAGGTCGCAATCCTATGGACATGAATCTGAAGAGTACTATATATATATGATTAGGTCACAATCCTATAAACGTGCATCTGGGCCTAAAACTCATTGATCATTGTACTTTTTAGTAAGAATGCATTGGATTGATCTGTTGTTCATTTCAATCTCTGTTAATTATTTTATGTAATTTCCTTGAAGAAATATTTTGCTGATCATCAGAACACATTCAGATACGTCAGCATTCCTATGTTCTGAAGCTAAGAATTAATGATTTTTAAAAAGTCATTTATACTAAAGTCCTTTAAAGTTTAAAGTTTAAAGTTACTTAGATGTAACTCTTATTGATATTCATGTACATGTAACGGATTACAACTTTTTTGAGTAAGTTACAGTTCTATATGCATGGTTTCCTGGGAGTAATTACCATTGAATTCAGAAAGTTTTATTTTTTAATGAACCTATTTTGCACTGCTAAAGACTTTAGTAGGAATTGAACCCAGTCTTGTATGCTTTAGTGCATTGTTCCATTACTTGCCCACGGCAATATTTAATTGGAATATCAGTATTGTACTTCCATTCGTTTTGGTTTTACAACTTCTAGGATTAACATCTGTTTGATTATCACGTGGCTTATATAGCAGCACTTTGCAGTGGTTTTCAGGATGTTTCATGCCTTTTATGTAAAGTTCTGTTTTTAGAACTATTTAGTTCTGATAGTTTCAAATTATCTTGTGAGTAATACTTCTCCTATATGACCTTTATTTATAGGAAAACATTGTTTTTCCAATATATAAATCTCAAGCGAATAAGAAAGAATTAAGTGAAAATATTTTTTCTTTCAAGATATTCCTTTCTGGAATATGTTTTCTGTTTTGTTTCTGCATGATGTCATTAAGGTCTACCCTTTAGGTTGCATCCTCAGAAGACTTAGTGGAGCTGTATTCATGCTAGAGGAAAAATCATGCTTTCATACCTTTTTAGGAAGATGCTTCTTTTCCAAAATTGGATGCATTTTTATTTGTAACTTTAATAAAAACCGAACGTTTTTTAAATCGCAGGTTCATTTATTATCATCTGCAAGCTCACCC